GCTGTTCCGGATGGAAGAGCTGCCGATAGGTACCGGTGCGCACCTCATCCACTACAGTGGGCTCCAGGTCCACGTAGACGGCACGGGGCACGTGCTTACCCGCACCCGTCTCCGAGAAAAACGTGTTAAACGAGTCGTCGCCGGCGCCGATATGCTTATCGCTGGGCATCTGGCCGTCCGGTTGTATGCCGTGCTCCAGACAATACAGTTCCCAACAGGCGTTACCAATCTGTACGCCCGCCTGACCCACGTGTATGGAAATACATTCTCTCATTATGAGTGCCTATTGGGGACGGCATTAGAAGGGGACAGCCGTTAGTATCGATTCAATTGAACTCTTTATATGCATATCAAGTGATGAGTGATTTGTTGATGTGTTGTCTGAACTTGAAATTCGTGTCTCAAAGGGTCAGATGTGATGTCTTAGGCAGACATCAACGCCAGACACGAGCAGTAAATGTGTGGCAAAAAGTCTTATACAATAATAAACCGGTTTATGGTTTGCGTTGAATGTCATTGAAGTCATTGAACGCATCCCTCTTTGGATGCATTTCTTTGAGACCATATTTGGAGTGAAATACATATTAGGCATCAGTTGTGACCAAATGAACAAATGTCCAAATTATGGACAATTCACTCGTTTGCCAATTCAGTCATACGTTTATAATTACATGCAATCAATGAATAAATGATGAATTTTACTAAAAAATGGTTAAAACCGTAAACCCTTAAGACTTTTCATAACCCGATCCGAGACACGCGTCCAGACATCACATCATTTGGTTGTCATTGAATATGAATAACTGAGACATACCTTGAGATTGCAGTGAATTAACGGTAAATGAGATACAAATCAATAATAGTATTGATTGAAGCGGTGATTGAATTGAAAACTCTTTTGTTTGACTGATTGTAACAAATAGTCTCACAATTGAGTGACGAATGACTGTTTGTGCACTGAATGCCCGCTTATATACCCACTGCTCAACCAATCATACAGTCGTGCACTCAGTCTCTCTCACTATAACCCAAACCTAACCCACACTTCAAAAGTTTGAATCAAAACTTGAAAACGTAATGAAGTTTT